AGAGAGAGAGAGAGAGAGAGAGAGAGAGAGAGAGAGAGAGAAGAGGTATTTCTTCAAGCTCGCGGCTGGCATCATGGTACTTTTTATTTTATTTTATTTTTTATTTTTTATTTTTTTGCCCAAGGCTGGCATCATGGTACTTCCATCGATGGGATGAGCAAAATCGAATCAATCCATTTCTAGAACATGGACATATACACTGCCACACTTGTTTGCGTGCGTGTGTGTGTGTGTGTGTGTGTGTGTGTGTGTGTGTGTGTGTGTGTGTGTGTGTGTGTGTGTGTGTGTGTTTATGACCGTATAGTATGCCATGCCATGACACGTTTGCCTGCGTCATGCATATCTCCGATGAAACATCACCGGCGCACCTCGTACTCCGTAACTGTGACGTATGGAATGCCTTGAGCGTGGTAGGACCGACTTTTATTGGGGCAAATGGATAATTATCATAATTTCACGTTCTTCCTAGTCTCATTGCTACCTAGCGACAAAGAGCTCATCCCCTTATGCGGACAACACACAGGCACACAAGGCAGGCCGGCGACAACCACCAGCAGTCGACGAAGTCGAGAGGCAGAGAGCCGTTGCAATTTTGTTTTTTTGTTGCTGTAGGGTGTCATTTTGCAACGTTTCCTCACTCGTTGCTTGCTCATTTCTCTCAGCCTCCATGAGATCGGCAAGACAGAAACATGACCTTCAGAGGAAGCAGCCCACTGGCTGACCAAAGAACCCATCCTCAAAAAGAGGGGTGAAGAATTCGCTGCCTCGTTGCCCATTGGCTGACAGTAGAAGCCCGAGAATGCTTTGCTTTGAATGCTTTCGTTAATTCACAGAAAACGAGGTTTTAAAATTTGCAAAATTCGGGAAAACCATTTTTTTAACGTGATCAGTTTAATATCTGATCCGTGGTCCATCGGAATAATAATAATAATAATAAAAAAAATAAAAAAAAAGCGAAAACAGCGTCGCACACGTTGTACAATGCTGTTTGTGGGTCCCGACCCCAGGGGCCGGGACCAACTACCGTCTTCACCTCTTCACCCGAATAGAACGCCCGGTCATTATAGCTGTATTTTGCACAACTTTCCATCCGGATGCGGCGATAATGACCGGGCGTTCTATTCGGGTGAAGACGGTAGCACCCGTTTTACAATGGTGCGACTGTGTTTCGATCACGTGTAGGCAGTGGTGACGTCTGCGGTCCGTGGATGGTACTGTACATCCATGGCTGCTCTCATTTTCGCTTAAACCACCAGTACTTCCCGGAGTTGTGCCCGTAAATGCGTCACGATTTTAGGAAACGTACAGGCCACTACATGAGCACCCAAATTCATACGACTAGAAACGCTTCTACTCCTTTTTTTTTTTTTTTTTTGGAGGAATTCAGCATTTCATTAAACGTGTGGAAAAGAAGGCTGGGACCCGGTTTCCAGCACAGCATAAGGGTTGGACCCCACAGCTTTGCGGACTGGAAAAGTTTTGCCGCGGAACTTTTCCGGTACCCCACAGCCGTGCGCGGAAAGCCTGGAAGACCCGTTTTTTTCCCGCGGAATGGTTTTCCGGGACCCCACACCCCGGAATCGTCGGCGTGGAAGAACGGGATTTGGCGTTTCTACATGGTTTCCAACTTGGAAAAGTTCCGCGGGAGCAATTTTTGCCGCGGAATTGTGCAGGGTAGCGAGGGTAGGGGTCGGTGATGTCTCGAAGGTTTCACAAGGTTGCGGAGGGCAGCTGGACTTTCGGTTGTCCGCGACTTGTCGAGCATTGGTTCCTGGAACATGTTCGGCCAGCCGAACAGTGTCGCCCACTGCACGGTACAGGCCGGTTGGTCTGCTCGCCGGAGTGGGCCGGTTGTTCCTGCGGTCCTTGCGAAAATGCACGGACATTGCACTGCTTTCCTTTTCCGGAAAGGCCAACCACGCCTTTCCTTTTACGGAAAGGCAACAACCCTGTTTGCCGCAAAACAGCGTCCGCGGTGGGATCCCCGAAAAATCTTTTCCGAGCTTTCCAAGATGCTTTGCCCGCTTCTCGTGGGAAAACCACTTTTCCATCCGCAAAGCTGTGGGGTCCAACCCTAAGCTGGGTAACGGCCCCAGTCTTTCCGGGTTGTTTTTGAGGATTCCCGGCCTCCTTTTCCACTCTATTTTTTTCCGCGGTCTATAGCTGAGCCAAGTACTGGTCGTTTAACCGAACTGTGGCATGGGTGTGTCGACCAATCCAGCGGTCTGAAAGGATGTTCTTTGTCGTTTTTGAAAACGAAGTTCACCGTGGCGAGGTTGCAAAAACGACAACTTGAACTTTCGAGGTAGGGGGTGATATTGGGTCTCGCTCCACTACTGTCTGCTGTACACAATTTCGTATAGTGGCCGTATAGCTGTCAGAGCTCTAAAAACCGTATAAAACCTAGTGTCGCTCCACTTACTGTCCGCTATACGAGTCTCCAATTTTGGAGTTCACTACAAAACACTCTCACAGCACTACAAGACATCAATTTGTCGGCCCAGACTCCAGGCTCTCCATACGATTTTGCGATGCTACGCCGACCTCCTTCGACCACCCTCCGAGTAACGACTTCTGCAGGCTGTGAACTATACGGGATCGTATGGTGAATCCGGAGGGCGCCATCTGACATCCATACGGTGATTTCCGAACGTGGATTTCGGATAGTAAGTGGAGCAGTGACTTACTATCTGAAATCGTACAGCAGATAGTAGTGGAGCGAGACCAATTGCAACGTCTTCTAGCTGGCCTCTAAAACAAAAATTTCCCGTTTGGGGGGGTTACGTTGGTGGACATTCGCGCAGTCTTCTCGGAGGAGCTGACACTGCCTGACAGTCTGATGACCATGTTAAACGGGGTGGGGATTTTGCATTACAATGGTACTGACGTCGGAATTCGGTCACTTTCCCACTGTCGCATGCATAGTGCTTGGAATGTCCCTGGATGGGAAAATTCAAAATAGTCAGATTCATTGACTTTGGTGGGCCCACGCATCAGGCCTCCTCCCCTTCACTTTCCGAAACAGGAAAGTCCTGTGGATGTGGAAACAGGAGGGCGTTAGCATCGGCTGCGTTTAGGCCAATGCCACCCATGCTTGCTTTCGTGGGTATGAATGAGCCTGCATGCCCTTTGCGAGGGCCTTACCTTTTGTGGCCAATACATTTGCCGTTTTTCCATTGCCAATGGAGTCTTTTCATTTCCATCTTTTCATTTCACGGGACGAGACCTTTGATTGACGGCTTCACCACTACTTCCGTACGTGCAAGAAGTGCAGGGCGATTCATCTGCTTCCCCCCCCTCCGCGTGCAGTGTACCTCTCATCACCATGTCTTCAAATGCTGATCCCGTCGGTCTGTCCTGTATCCGGGACTGGGGCTATTCACAGTCTCAAGACGCACTCCTAGGATCGGACAAGGGGCCAGTGGCACCTGTGGGGGTGGGACCCACATCGAGTCAAATCACAGTCTCAAGACGCACTCCTAGGATCAGACAAGGGGCCAGTGGCACCTGTGGGGGTGGGACCCACATCGAGTCTCAGTACTTTGCTGCATAGCGAGGGTGATTTGAGCTACAGCAGGAGTGAGACTCAGTGCCCATTCAACGTTCAGTCCAATGGCATGCAGGTCCCCGAGTCACATTCCGTGTCACATGAGCCTTTCTTGTCAGTGGACAGGGCTGGGGTTCCACTGTCACGCCCTGCAGCTATGACAACGGGACCTGCTTTCTCGTCACGTCTGCGTCCCATAGGCGGGTTCAGGTTTGGTGTTGCTGGAAGAGATGAGCAGTCTCTCAAGGAGCGCCTACGGGTGCGGGCGATCGCCATGGCGGAGGGCCTGTCAGCGGACATGCTCCATGGTCTGGTGCCACCGCATTCCCATACTCCATCTCCCAATAATGGTGCTGCCAGTGTGAGTCCTATTCCCTCACCTGTCACATCTGCTGTCCGTGATGGGGAATCTTCCGTCCACCTCACACCCTTTCGTCCACTCCACCGCCCATTGTCCCGCAATCGGTGGCAGGGTCACGTCCTCCCATGGTCCCGCATTGGGGATGTGGGAGTGGTGATGGGTGATCACATGGGCAGCAGCCGGCTCCGCATCAGAGTATGTCATCAACCGTATTATCCACAACATAGAAGCTGGTTTTGATGACACTGGGGACTTTGCAGGGAATCGTGCGGCTGGCCATGCCAGTCCGTCACCTGCGCCGGTGTCACACGCATCCGGAGCATCGTCCGGTGTTGCTGGCGAGACGGGTAGTCCTGTCACCGGGCAGTCCGGTTCTGAGCAAGTGCCTTCGAATATTGGGAATGCAGCTGCCTCGACTGCCCAGGCACGTCCTCAACGGCCTCAAGTATGTACGGTTTCCACAGAGAAGAACACGGAGCGCTGGGGGGAGGAAGAGACGGGAGCCCTTAAAGTTTGCAAGATTCACAATGAGATCAAGGTGTTGTTGATGAGTGAGGAGACGGAGGCATATGGGCGGGCGAGAATAAAACACAAGGGTTTTGGAAGATGGTGGAAGATTGGATTACTAGGGGGAAGGGGTTTCACTGTGATCATGAGCAATGCAAAAACAAGTTTCATCAAGTGTATGACTACTACAAGAGGTTGAAGGCACATGAGAGGTGGTCCGGTCTTCCCAGCTAATGGGACATGAATGCCACGAGACGGAAGGAGTACCATGTTGATTTTGTGCTCTGGCGCAGTTGGTACGACATTATCGACCCCGTCGAGAAGGACTTGGACACCAATAACTTGTCACAATTGAGGGACCCTGGTGCAGAGCAGGAGCGAGAGGAGGGAGAAGGGATGGCAGACGGAGAAGGAGACGCGGATGGGGTGAGTGACGAAGCGGTCGAAAGGGGAGGTCGGGGACTGTCAGGAGGTTCGCGGTCGACTGCATTTGATCCCATGCTCGGGAAGCACAAACAAACGAACACGAATGCCCGTGAGTCCAGTGTGCGGGCTGTGACTGGCGCAATGCGCGATCACACGCAAGCATTGACACGTTCCGATAGAGACTGTACTATGAGGATGCGTTGTGAAGCCACACGTGACATTGCTCGCCAGCAAGCGGATGTCCAGAGAGAACTGATCGAGCACAACATTGCTGCTCACGAGAGGATAGCGGGCTCCTATGGTGAGAGGGTGGGGAAAGGATGCCTTACGCTCGTGGATGCGATAGGACTCAGTCCGCGGTGCCAAGGAGGCGCAGCTCTGCTGACGAGTCGCCTTCATCAGCATCTGAGTAGGAATTGAGTGCTGATTCTGCTTTAGGACCTGGAGGTCTGAGACTCTGAGGACATCATTTATGATAATTTTCACGGGTTTACACAGTCGGGGGGGGGAGAAGGTGTTGATTTTGTCTATTTTCAAGTTAGGAGCTGTTTTTTTGGTACTTGTTTGTCCCTTCGATGAGCCTGGATTCATTCCATTTATCCACTGACATGCTTGTACACAAGTTTTAGAAGCTTATCCCAGGTGTTTTTTTTTTTGTTTTTTTTTTTTTTAATTTTATTTTTAAACAAAACACCCCCCATTGGTGATAGTGGTGCTGATAAGAGCAGACACCGCTACCACCGGGGGAGAGGCTCCATCTATTGGTGGGGAGCATCACCTGCTGGAAAACGGGCCCAGCGTCCCAAGGACAGATTGTCAACAGTGTATCTCAGAAAAGACCATATCAAGGATCCCTGCCAGCATTGATTACCCTGAGCTACAGGGGATTGACTGTACTGGACTATGAAAATAAGCTTGAAAAATAAACTGCCAGCCTGCTCTATAGTTTTTTTTTTTTTTTTTTTTTTTTTTTTTTTTTGGATCAGACAGTAAACTGATCAGAACAGATACTAAACTTGATCTTAGCCAAAAGGCCGAGATGTAGTACTCAATTGTGTACTCAAGGGACGCTGGACCCGATTTCCAGCAGGTGAAGCTCCCCACCAATAGATGGAGCGGCTACCAGCAGGCTGCTAGGGCAGGCTGCTCTCATTCCATTTATCCACAATAATCCACTGACATGCTTCTCCGTCACACACAGCCAACGATGCCGGGTCTTTCGCTTTCATGATGTCAGTTTTATGGACAGTCCTTCTCTGGATGGAATTATATCTCAGTGACTTCAAAATGAACGGTTGGGAACCCCGACAATAGTCTTTGTCCTCTGGTGAAGGCACATTTTCATTTTGCATGTTCTCTATTCGATCCCTCCTTTCTGTGTTTGTCGATGTCATTTCCACTATCCCACACTGCCGTTAAACACATGGTAAGAGATTCAATTTGGTGCATTGTTTTCTCGTGTATGTTCTTCCTATGTTTTTCTCCTTTTGTTTCTGCAATTTGTCCGATTTTTGTTTTTTTTTCCCCCGGTTTTCGATGTGCTGTGGGATGTGTGTGTGCGATGTCACCATTAAGAAGTGACATTCAGTCCCACAAATGCGCATACACCATCGGAAGTAAATACACGATCTGTCGGATCACAAAAAAAAAAAAAAAAAAAAAAAAAAACCTGCGTGTACGTCTGAAACGACCATCCATGCTACTACGCTTCCGCGCTGGCATTGAAGGGCGTGTGGTTGGTGGTGGAAAAATCCGCTTCCACGCTTCCACGCTGAGGAGCCTGTTTCCGTCTGTTCATTGAAGTTGGGCCCCTTTGACGGCCATAGCCAAATGGCCAAAGCGGATATAGTCGTGCTTGCACATACAAGTTGATACAACCATGTCGGGTCATCATGCATACAGGTTTTACTTGTTGTTATACTTGCTATGAGTAAACGAGAAAAATAAAAAAATAAAAAGTCAAGCCACATCCCTTTATCCGCTTCATTCTCGCATCTTTAATGGGTGGCCTATCCTTCCATGCATCCAACATGACAACAAAAAAACATTAAAAAAAAAAAAAGTCCTCCAATCGGAGGGTCGTGAAAAGGGCTGTGTCTGTCACGTCATGTTCGCTCTATTGCCCTAAGTCGCCACTCAGCGGCCACTGTGCCGCAGACGCGAGGTGCAAAAGTGGAGATAGCACTTGGCAATCGTCGATGCCACGTTGTACCACCAGGCAAAGCCAGCTTTCCACGTGGACGCATCACACTTCCAAAAATCGCATAGATAACAACAAAAAACAAACTTAAGGAAATAGGTAACTCATTAAAAAA